TTTGGTTCCCATTGAAGTACATTATATGGAGAAAAATCCTGGAATGTTTTCCTCAAAAACCTTAATTTCTTTTCGACTGAAGAAAAAATGACATGGACATCTTGGATGGCATGGGGGCGAGTAAATTATCAGCAAAAGTTTTTTTTAAAAGTGAACTACTCCTTTAACACACACACACACACACACATATATATTATGCTTGTTTCAAAAGACAAACATTCTTAACAAGAGGCAATACAGAGTAAATCCTATTTAAATATCAGAAAATAATGCAGTGTTTACCAGCTGCTGGAGAAGAGCGCATACACTCGCGACTTCATCCAGTCCTCGGCGTGCTGGACGAAAACGTCCTGTAGGCGGTTGAAGTACAACGACTCGCTAGGAATCCCGCAAACCAGTCGTGCCTTCAGGAAGGAGGTCCAGATGTTCTGGAGGTACAGCTTGGGACCGCCCTCATCAACCTATGAGAGATTGATATCTTCACAGGTGGAAAATATTCAGCTGAATTCCAAGCCCAGATAAAAAAAAACACTTATAATACTAGATGGTTTATGAAAATAATGTTTTAATAACATAATGGGAACGTTAGCAAACTGTTCATATAGCATATTTTTGTTGGCAGGGCGACTTCTGCGGCTCATGCTTGTTTCTAGATATCTCTCTGTCCAACAGTCATCACTCTTCTTTCAGCGTCCTTAGCTATCAGCAAAGTTCATTGTAAACATCAGCTGAAACAAAATCCACTGAAAGAAAAGCGATGACTGCATTGCCGGGAATTGACTAGTTGGACGCCAGTGCTTGCAGTGCAATTTCAATTTCAATCTCCGTCACAGCTTTTGTCTTCTCTTTTCTAGACTTCTCTTTACTACCTCCACAAAAATCATGGTATCCAATCTCTGACAAGCAAATGCCTTTAAAGGGATACTCCACTTTTTTGGAAATAGGCTCATTTTACCACTCCCCCAGAGTTAAAGAGTTGAGTTTTACCCTGAGTTGAGTTTTTTTTATATTTAGAAGAATATCAGTAACCAGACAGTTTCTGGCCTCATTCACTTCCATAGTAGGAAAAATAATATACTATGGAAGTCAATGAGACCAGAAGTATTCTTCTAAATATTAAAAAAATCGGCTGAATGGATTTGAAAACGGTAAAACTCAACTGTTTAACTCTTGGGGAGTGGTAAAATGAGCCTATTTCCAAAAAAAAGTGGAGTTTCCCTTTAAGTAAAGGTATGATGATAACTTGTTTTTGAAGGTCACTTTTTCTATATTTTTCCTTTCAGACACATGTAGGAAGCCTCACAAAGAACCAACACATCTTTCATATCCAAGTGAGAAACATACCTTACAAACTCTGGCAACTCTAGATATCCAAGGATCAGCTTCTGGGCTCGTGTCCGAGTTTTTTTCACGAAATAAGACGTATATCTTCTCATTCAAGGAGTCATTTTTGCGCTCGGCCAGAAAACTGGAGATAAAAGTGGGTTCTGTGGAGATAAGTCATGAATTATTTCTTTATTCCTTCCAACATTTTTACTCATTTCAATGAAACTCAACTTTAGCTTCAAGTGAGAACAAGTGACTAGGGTGTGTAATTTAATAGCTGATACTTGAGAGTGGAAAAATGCAGACACAAGGTCAGCAATTCTTAAGCTCAGCCAAATCTGTCAGCAAAAGTGGATTCTCTATAACATTAGAGGATACATACCAATTAAACAGAGTAAGATCTACGAGTTCAATTAAGACTAAGCCGTCCTAAGTTCACTAAATCTTAGAGGAAATTTGCCAAAAAATTGCCGCATTCAAATTGCTGAATCTCCCGTGGAAATGCACCAGTACCACTGGAGTTAAAAACATTATTATAAGCGTACCGCTTTGACTCAAGCTACGGCAAGCAGAGAGTTTTTTTTAACACTGGTTGGTTATGTATTTTCTCAAATATGTATTTTGGATCATTTTTAACTCCAAAAAAGCTACGGAGTGCAGCTTTAAGCCATTCATGGTCAATGCATATGTTGCAGTATATTGAAAACTATAAGCCCTAGTTTCCCAAATATAATGTAATATGTAATAAAACGCATCATATTTTGCAGTTTATTCCCATATATTTTTGTTCAGTATAGGGGACCAACCTGAGACCCACTGGTCATGCATCCATACGCTGATTCGATTTCCAGCTTTTCTTCGAAACTGCAACAGGGTTCCATCACTGTAAAGAGGAGCTGCTGCATAGAGGTCTCCATCTGAACATTTAAAATGGCAACATTCATTAACAAAAGAGCTGAATCACCTTCTCTGATCTGCTTAATGAAAGCCTATTTCAGATAAGCGTACAATCCTCCAGCTCACTCACAAAGACTACGCAGATCAAAATATTAAGCGGCTTGTGTTCCGCACTTACCTGCCATCAGAGACAGCGAGTTCTGTGTAAATGTGTAAGGTGAGATCCCTGTGCCGTCTACCTCGGTGGAATGATTGCTTTCTGTGGGAAACTTTGAAAAGAGACAATGGTATATGTATATGTAAGTATTTGGTAATTAAACATTATGGCTAAAACTATTTCATCCAAAAAAAAACAACAACAACCTTCTAACCAGCAGATGGCATAATGCATCTAACACCTATCCAGAAAGGAGTCATATTTAATTTTGATCGTCAATAATGTGTATTTTCTTAAAAATGTTATATTTCATATGCATGCTAATGTAGCTGATAAATTTTGCAGTAAATTGGTACAAAAGTACTTCAAATCCCCCAAAACACAGCATTACTCTATGAATTTTGGCGTCATATTATGTGGGGGTCACCACAACTTGATTGTACTTAAAAAAATTTGAGGCAGCAACTTTTTTTTTTTTTTTACAGAGAAAATTTTACATGCACAAATAGAGTTGAGAGAAACACATTTTTCTCCTCATGGTCTTACAAAAAAGTAAACAACAAGGCAAAACAATGACAAAAATCTTGCTCTCTACATTTGATTCTTACCAGTTTCCAACACTTTGGATCTCCTCCATTCGTCCCACATACAAATGTGCAGTTTTGAAATCTCTCAATTACAGTGACTACATTTTCACAAGAGCTCTGTATAGATGGAGGAATATTAGAAAGACTGTTATAAACCACATAACATAATTTTCTCGCTTTTTCAAAAGTATTAAAAAAACCCTCACCTTACCACATCTTGGTGAGTTTGGATTCAGAGTGAAGTTCTACAAATAAAAATAAAACATCATCAAATTGTATTGAGACGATAAGTTTGCATCTCAATAAACAGTGTTATATTTTATTATCTCCAAACTCTTCTGAATGCTTCTCAAAAAAGTATGTTTTTTGTTTTGTTTTTAGTACTATGACTGCTCAATTACTTAACAAATCATATACAAAGCAACCAATCACATGAATGTTTTCTAACACCAATCAATCACTCAACTAAGATTTAAATAATTGATTGTAACCATAGCAAAAGATTGACATGTTGATGGAAATAAATCTTTCATGAACACCTGATATTCTGCCTTTGTTTGATTAAATGAACAAAAATAAACTGCACTGACAGATCTGTTTGTTGATTTTGACCCAGCTGTGCGTCATCTGACTATCAATTCACAATATATAATTTAGGCTCAACTTCCTACTGCCAAAAGTTTCAGTTAACTTCAGTCTCTCATTATGCTACTATTCTTGAAATTACTTTGAATAGAATTATAAATATAGAAAATGGAAAATTACATAGATGCATTGAGATTCATATAAATATCACATATCATTGATTTACATATTAATGACCAATTACCTCCAAAACCTGACCAGTGTCTAAGTCAAAGTGTAGAACATTATTCAATCCTCCCAGCCAGAGACTCTTTGATCCTTCTTGATGAAATAAGACTGTATGACTGTAATTCGTGTTGTATAACAGTAGAGAATCATCTGCGGAAAAAAAATTAAATAAAACTTGGCTAAAATTATGTCGTGATAAGACACATATGCCACGTCTCTCACAAACACAATTTAGACCGCATCATTTACAAAACAAATAAAAAAAACAATAGAGTATATATATACACACACACACCACACACGCACACATAGCCTACATACACTAATTAGTCTGACTACAGGGGAAATTTTATCTTCACTTACCTCGTTTTAGTGTTAATCTCGGATCACAAGAGCAAAACACGCACTGAAAGCACGCTCCATAAATAAACCAAGGATACGCCAAAATACCTTTGATGTCGACAGAGAAAAAACGATTTAGGATCATATTCCTGCAGAGTATATTCGCTCAGCACATCTCATCTACTAGTGCTTGCGTAGACTCAAAAAAGCGATGGGCGAGATTAATGAGATGGTCCTCAAGTGCGGAACATGAAATCAATGGGGAGGAGTCGGATCCAGATCCAACTCCCACCTTACATACACCTAAAGTTAAACTATGTACTATGTAATCTTTTTTCTTTTTTTTAGGGTGACTCTTAACAACTGTCTAGGGACTGCAGATGAAAAATAGCCTTTAGGCTAATTCTGGCATATTGACAGAAATGTTTATGAATATGCACTGTCCCTGTACTAAATAAATAAATAAATAAAAATAAAAATAAAAAACCTAACCAACTCCGCCCCCTAATCCCTAAACCCAACCCTAATCCTACCCATCTCCACCCCTTGGATCGTGATCCGACTCCTCCCCGTGGATCTCATGTTCATTGCATTGAGGTACTGAGTCGGACCCCTATTTTTTACAGTCTATGGTCGGACCGCACTCGGACACATTTCACATGTTGTTTGTTAACATTCACATGTTGTTAACATTTTCTAAACATTCACCGTTAAGAATTTGCACATGCACGTTTTTTAATCTTTCGATTTCAGTCGGAACCATAGGGTCGGAACTCGGAATAAAACAGTAATTTGTCTTATTAAAAATGTCACTTTAGTTAGTGTGACTTAAAAATAAGGGCACGAATCAGTCAAATATTGTATCAAGAACAACTTAACTTTATAAGAAACTTGATAGAATATACCAAAGTTGACTAACGTTAGTCCTCCAGTCCAGTAGGTGGTTTGCCAACCATCAACCGTTAAGTTACATACAAGAAGAAGAAGAAGAAGAAGAACAGCAGCTGACTGACTGTCACAATGGTATTTATCTTATTTCTTATTGGAGGATATCTGGGTTAATTTTGCTTTCTCATTTGAAATCTCTAAAGTTATATTATGTGACCACTTGTTTTGTTGATAGTTGATTTATTTTCATTTTGTGGATAGCGCACGCTGATCTTAGTGAGGTCTTAAGGCTGAGCAACAGAAGTAAACATTCTTCACTCATTTTGCTCTTTCATTTCAGAGGTTCCGATTTTGTGGAGATCTGGACTGCCCTGACTGGGTCCTTGCAGAAATAAGCACCTTAGCTAGAATAGTAAGTGCGCGTTGTCTAAATTGAATAGGTGTTTTGATGTCCCCTTTAACACCTGTCTAAAACTTATCTATAATTTACTTCATTGCTGTTCTTCACAGTCGAGCGTCAAGATGAAACTTCTGTGTGTGCAAGTCATGAAAGATCTGCTGGATGAAGGCATTGATGTAAGAGAGCACTGGCCACAGAAGACTGCTATACTGGAACTGGAAATTAAATGAATAGGCTATTCCTCCAACTAGTAACTGTATATCATTTTCTGTTTTCAGTATGACAAAGTTTCAAAGCTGACCACCGATGCAAAATTTGGTGAGTAAAACCTAGTTTTTGTGTCATGTATTCTCATAGTGATGTGTCGAATAAAATTATTATTATTATAGACCAAATATTTCAATAATGATAAGCTGATGATTATTTTCATGTTATGGCTGATATTAAAATTATTTTCAAATAATATTTGATGTTAAATATTAATATTAAATTAAAACTAAAATTAGTTTTAAATGCTACACGTGAATTTAGGCAAAACAGCATTATAATGTACAGTGTGAACCAAAAATTGGATATGGATATTGATTTTGAGATAAAGATAACATTTAACATTGTTATTAAACTACTAGTGCTTTTAAAGATCAATTGATCTCAATAAAAAAAAAATCGTTCATATATGCTGATAACTGATGTTACCAACATGTACACGTCCCTACATAAATGTATTTTCTGTTGTCTGTGTGTATTTTATGCCATATCTCTCTTGCTAACTTAGAAATTGGAGACATTAAAGCCAGTGTTGCTGTGCTGAGTTTCATTCTGTCCAGTGCTGCTAAACATGATGTAGACAGTGAATCTCTCTCCAGTGAACTACAGCAGCTTGGCCTGCCTAAAGGTAAGGATATGCACGTTATCATTTTTTGACTTTATACTAAAGTTGTGATTAAAATGATGTGATTGGTCTACTCTGCTCTGATTGGTCAGATGGCCCAGCAATGTGATAATGCTAATGCTTAAAAAGTGTGTATAATAAACTTAAATTATCTTTCAAATATATTTAAATCTGTATGTGCGTTTCACATTCTTTTTGTGACGAAAACATTATATATGTAGAAAACATCCCTTCAACTTCAAAAAGTGAACTGCAGTTTTACTGTTGCATAATAATTATTTTAACATCAGTGTTGATTTTATCGTATTGAGCCGAGTCCTCATTCTTTGGAAGTGCATCAAAGTGGATTAGCTTTTGCAGCGCAAAAAAAACAGTGTCTTCTCAACACGTCGACAACACGCACCAACAGCTAGTGTTTGAGGGTTAAAGTAGACGTAGTACACGATTAGCCATAGGCAGCATTATGCAAATTTGTACGATCAGGAAGTAAGACTGGAAATACTGGTGACTTGTTTCAGGCAGTTCAGAATCGGTTCTTTCTTTTGGGAGACAAACACTCCATTTACAGTGCACTTTACAGACCATTTACAGTCACAAAGAGCTGTATTACTCTCTGCATGAAAGATAATATCTGAAAACAGCGTAATATGCATGTAATATGCATGTTTGTTTTTAGAGCACGCCACAGGACTGTGTAAATCATATGAAGATAAACACAGTGCTCTACAGGAAAAGCTGAGGGAGAGCAGCCTACGATGTGAGTATTGCCAATAAAAAAAACAAAGGAAATGCATACCAGATTATTCATTAACATAATATCCTGATTTATGTCATGCGTCAGTGGGTCGCCTGGAAGCGGTGAACTGGCGTGTGGATTACACCCTGAGCTCCAGTGAAATAAAGCAAGTGAATGAACCCACAGTCCAGCTCAGACTTCAGGCTCAGGACCCCGAGACCGACTCCACAGAGACCACCGTTGTCTCCATCACTGCTGACAAGTTCAGAGTCCTGCTAACAGGTGGCCGAGTCATTTCCCCTCTGGGATCAGTAATCATACATTGTATTATGCATATTGTAAATGTCCTTCTTTTTGTTTTCCAGAACTCAAACAAGCACAGACTATGATGAATGCACTACAGTGAACCAGTCATCCATTGTTGAAGAGTATTGATGAAATCTGTCCGTTTACATGAAATGTGCTTCTCAGAAAGAAAGAAACATTTATGTATTTTGTTGAGGTGGCCAAATGTGGTTGCTCAAATTGAGCACTGACCTGAACAAAAGCACATCAATCAGATTTATATGCATTTCTTTTTCGACCAGATGTCACTAGAAACTTAATTTTGTCACTGTGTTGATTGACATCCAGAGAACAAAAAGCTTAGTGATTCATCTCACCTCATGTATTTGTCTTAATATCATGTGCATTTTCTTTAAAAAAAATAAATAATAAAATGTAATAGTTCCGTTTCTATATTTGCTTAACATTACTGGTCATTTTTTGTTGTTGTTGTTTGTTTTGTTACTAATGTATTTAACAGTTTGTGGTTAAAGGGGAATGGTATACTATTTAGTTTATTCACATATTGTATTTATTTCCCCTGGCATTGACTAAATCTATTCAGACCAGTTGGAAATCTTCAGATCTGGAAATATCATGAATTCCTCCTCAGATTTACTGTACAAGATTAAAATAGTTTTGTATAGAAAAAAGCAAAACGAAACAATAAAATGTAAATACGTTGTCGAAAGGCTCTCAGAGGAGGGGGGCTGGAAACAAACTACAACTCCCATGATGCTCCCGCACCCGTTTCATAAACATTAGCATACACCGCGCGAGTTTCCATTATTATATAACACATCAAGAGCAAAGGTGAGTTGTTGCACGATTCATTGAATTTAACCAGCGATTTACTGACTATGATCTTGCTGGCTATTTGGAAGCACACGTTCCAAAGCGACAATTCGTGAACTTTGCATGTAGCATCAAAACATGCATGTACTAACTGCTTACTAGCGCTTAAGGCAGACTTTCATAACAGCATCGTTCAACATCACTGTAAACTAGCACTGCACGCCTATCAGATGCTCTAAAATCTAGCAGTCCAGTTGAACTATTATGCATATTGTACACTTTGGTGTCCCTTGTTTTTTTTTAAGCATTAGAGGCACAAATAACCGTTATATTATTTCTCCACCTTTTATCAAAAACATTTATTGAAACTGTGACAAATGCAGGAAGTAAATCGCTAGATTTTTAAGAACTTTTACACAGATTGTAGCGGTAACTGAATGTGCCGAGCTTCATGCTTGTTGCTCAAGTAAAAAAAAATTAAATAAAAAAATATATATTATATTTTTTAATTCATTTGATCGGAAATGTTTTTTTTTAATTTTTATTTGTCAGTACGTACGTGCTTTATTTAGGCTAAACCTTCCACCCCAATTTGGTCAGAAAAGTATTCCCATTTTCCCTAATTTTGTACCTAAGAAAATTGCAAAAACAGAGACATCAGGATTTAGACATTTTTAGACAAGTTCTTGTTTTGGGCTTGCAAAAAGAAAGAAAGAAGAACACAACAAACTAGAAATAAAGCAAATTAGTTTGACTGAAAACAATTTGACTTCCTGACTTTTTAAAAAAAAATCTGATTTTTCGTTTTCTGAAGTAACCGACTTGCACTGATCATTTGTTGAGAAAAAAAAGCCTAAATTGTTAAAGTCCGCATGAAGCGTAAATGGCAATAGTCTTTTCTTCCCTGTTGTGACATATCCGAGTAAAACAGCTACTATAGGGCGGACTTGATCAGATGGTGGTGGTTTTCTATTGGTCGACCTCATGTGATTGACAAGTTGCCCCGCCCTCATACCAGTAAACACGTCATCAGAGAAGAGAAGACGCTGCAAGAGGGAGTTAATGATATGCACAGATAAATCATTGTATAATAACTACTGTAATATTCCATTAAAAAAAAAAAGAATTGCCGATGATTTCATTGTGACGACTAAGAGATTTAGGTCCTATTTTGAACCTGATTGTGGAAAGTCTCTCGTGTAACACTAACAGCATCTGAACCCCTTATGTTTAAAGGTTTCCTTTCATGGTTGAGAATGCCGGAGGGTCCTGAGCTTCATTTGGCTAGCCTGTTTGTCAACAGGATGTGTGCAGGGCTTGTGTTTACCGGAGCTGTAGAGAAATCTGAAGTGAATAAAAATCCTGAGGTCCCATTCTGCTGCGATGCCTACACCATCAGAGCCCAGTCCAGAGGAAAAGAGGTCATACTCACACTAACACCCTTTAAAAACGATGGCAAACGCAAGGTCGGTAAACATCAGTCTCAGCAGCCCATGGATGTAGTTTTCCGGTTTGGGATGTCAGGGTTTTTCCGCTTCACTACAGAAGCCGATCTTCCAAAACATGCCCACCTGCGGTTCTACACTGCTGAGAGCCCACGCAGGGTCCTGAGTTTTGAGGACACACGCAGATTTGGCAGCTGGCAAGCAAATGGGACCTGGCAAAAAGACAGAGGGCCTTGCGTCATGTTTGAGTACGAGAAGTTCAGGTGAGGGATTCACTGGGATTCACAGTAAACATATAACAGAAATTATTAGTATAAAAGATTTAGCTAGGTGTCTAGTAAGATAGCAGGAAGTGTACACAGGCTACCCATACAGGGAAAAAAATTATTTTAAATAGGCTATTGTAAAAATATGTAGTAAACACTGAGGTTCGGTTAAATATATTATTGAAAGTGAATTTATTTATTTATTTCATTTATTTTGTTTCAACCTTCATAGACCAAAATGTATTTCAAACTCAAGAAAATATATTTCCGATTGTACAGTAGACAAAATACAAAAGTGAATGGAACAGTAGCGATCGAAAACGAAACTAAATTTTTTATCCATCATTTAAAATGATGTTATGAATTTTAAACCTTTACAGGAAAAAAAAAAAACACATTAATTTCCGCATTCTGGCCACTTTTGTTCAAATTTCATCCCAAAAAATACAGAGTGATTGAACACGGCAGTCAGAATTTTTTTTTTCTTTTTTACTTGATAACAGCCTTATAAGAATAACCCGCACTAATGTTATTTTTTAATTTTTTATAATCAAATACAGGTGTAATATAGCCATAAAAAATGGCTAGATTTATGATGTTAATAACTGCGTCATCATTTGCACGTATGGAAGCGCCTACACGCTTTAAAGGGATAGTTCACTCAAAAATGAAAATTCTGTCGATAATTACTACTCATTTACCTCATATACTGACAGCATTTTTGGGTGAACTAACTAACCCTTAAACGGTCAACTACCAGTGGGAGTTCTCAAGGGAAGAGATATTTAGTTTTAGTCATCTTCACTTTAGATGTATAGTGTGTTGTATTTTTAACGTCTTGCAAGTTTATTTCAATTCATGGGATTTCAGTATCAATCGGTCCAGCATGATTAGACACGATTCAAATCGAGAAAATTTTATTTTCAACTCAGCCCTAGACATATTTTATGCCAAGCATATTTCATGATGCGTCTTCGATATTATGGTGTACAACTCAATTAATCTCCGTTACATGGAAATTGGCAGGGTTACACACAGGCACAAGCACAACGTGGTTTAGTAGTTTGATGTCGGTGGAGATGCGATTAATATGAAAGGGCCAGTTTACAATGCAATGGGTTGATAACTTAGTATGTGTTTAAATATTTCAGGGAGAATGTTCTTTCAAATCTGTCTGACAAGGCATTTGACAAACCCATCTGTGAGGCGCTCTTAAATCAGAAGTATTTCAACGGGATCGGGAACTATCTTCGAGCAGAGATTTTGTTCAGGTAACTCACTTTCCAATGTTTTCTATCTCCGAAAGAAATGGCGTATCCCAACTTTGAGAATGAAACCACGTTGTCTATTTGAAAAATCCCCCCCTTTTTTAACTTATACAATAAACCATTGAAATATTCCTCTCTTTGATGACCTACTATCATGCCAATAGTCTAAATCTGATTACGAGAAAAAGGAACTGATTGTTTTCCCCTCACATCGTTTTCAGATTACAAATCCCCCCATTTGTGAAGGCACGGACAGTTCTAGAGGGAATTGAGCCGAAAAATGAGGATAAAAAGGAGATCAAAAAGGTTAGTACAGTTATAGAGGTGAAGAATCTGACCCTCTAGTCAGTGTATTACTAGGCACTTTGTTTGGCATTAATCATGGCTCTGTTGGGTTTCATTCAGACTACAGATACTGCCAGAAAGAAGGGGGTGAAGGTTGAGACCCCAGACCTCCTTTCTTTGTGTCACACTGTTCCCTTGGAGGTGGTGAAATTGGGTTGGTTTACACTGCATTTAATTGTGATACGTTCATTTATCGATTGCTATTTTGCACAGCTGAGCTGCGTATGACGGTACATGCATACCCATCACATTCTTAATAACAAGTTAGCTCAGATTTGGAGTCGTAGTGTCAGTGAAATTGCCTTTTTAGCTAGATTTTTTATACTTAATTTTTATATAATTAGGTGAAAATGGCTATAAACCAGCAAAGGCTGAATATTCTGTGCTACAAGCCTGGATGCAGTGTTACTCTGTGGATGGAATGAAGTCATTAAGTGACCACAATGGACGGACAATTTGGTTCAAAGTATGTAAAGCTTTGTCAAATTTAATTACTAAACCTGATAACCATTAGGTAACGTTTTATTTTAATGCTTTGTTTCAGGGGGATCCTGGTCCTATGGTGCCCAAAGGTAAAACATCTTTGCAGTTTAAACAGATGATTTACTCTTGCGAATTTCAGTCACTTATAACTAAAAATGATTTTCCATTAGGTGCCAAATCCCGCAAAAATAAGTGGAAAGTACAGAAAGATCACGATTATACTGATTCAAAGGTGAAAGCAGTTATTTTCTTTTTTTTTGTATTACTTTGGCTCATGAACAGATACAAGAACATTAAACGTCTGCTTCACTCTAGAAAGCCAAAAAGACTTACACCGAGAGCATTGCATTAGAAAAGCCTGCCAAGAAAAAGGACAACACAAAGGTAAAGAAAGAAAGTGCAACCTCTAAAGCACAAAGTGGATCAAAAAGACAGAAAAAAGACACAAAGAGTGTCAGTACAGAACCTGCGGATGAGAACACAAAGACGAAAAAACAAGGGAAGAGAAGCTCAAAAGGTTAGAATCGTACGTTCTCCATTTGTATTTTTACTTTCAGTATTATACAGTGATTTCACTGCTATGTTGTCCTTTTTAAGTTCCTCCAAGGACTAGAGCTAACAAAATCAAAGGCCAACAGGTGGAGGAACTGATTAAAACTAAAAGGAATCCCATCACCTGCAGGGAGAGTGCAACAAAAGGTATGAATTCAGTCGTGGCCTTTAATACAGAAACTGACTGTGCTCTGTGAGTCGTGGTGTCTTCAGTGGCTGATTCAGTTTTTCTCTGGATTCTTTTATAGCAAAGCTACAGAGGAGAAGTAGTGGCGCACGACGAGGCCGTTCAAGATGATGACTTAAACCTGTATAAGGGGATGAAACTACTGTAATGGACCACTCAGACCTTTTATATTCAGTAAAGACTTCATAATCTATTTTTAACATAAAATATGTATACAAAAAATACACTTCTTTAAATTCTACTGTTCTACTATCTTGCCTTTTTTCTTCTAAAATAACACTTAAAGGAGTAGTTCACTTTAAAAAAAAAAACTTTTGCTGATAATTCACTCACCCACATGTCTTTCTTTCTTCAGTCGAAAAGAAATTAAGGTTTTTGATTAAAAACATTCCAGGATTTTTCTCCATATAATGCACTTTATTGGGAACCAAACGGTTTAAGGTCCAAAAGACAGTTTCAATGCAAACTACAAACTGTTCATAGGGCTTTAAACGGTTTTAGACGATGAATAAGGGTCTTATTCATCGTCTTGTTTAAAAAATAAAATAAAGTTTTATAAGCTCAAATGGTCGCCTTGATGTGCGTTCGTGACTCTCCTGTTCGAACTCGTTTATCAAAATTAACGAATCTTTTCCCGAGTCAACTCGTTCATTTCGTTCGTTGAATGAACCAAATGACACGAAAAAAGATTGGTTCATTTCGAACAGGAGAGTCACAAACCCGCATCACAGGACAGAGCAAGGTGAGCATTTGAGCTTATAAAACTTAAACTTTGTTGTTATTTTTTTTAAATGAGCGATCGTTTCGCTTGATAAGACCCTTATTTATCGTCTGGAATCGTTTAAAGCCCTTTGAACAGTTTGCATTGAAACTGTCTTTTGGACCTTGAACCGTTTGGTTCCCATTGAAGTCCATTATATGGAGAAAAGTCCTGGAGTATTTTCATCAAAAACCTTAATATCTTTTCGACTGAAGAAAGAAAGCTGTTGACATCTTGGATGACATGGGGGTGAGTAAATTATCAGCAAAAGTGAACTACTCCTTTAAAAGGAAAGAGAGTTCAGAGGAAATAATAACAGAAACAATACATTGTAAATCGAACATTGAAATTTATTATTTTTTGTAAAAACTGGTGAAAATGTGTGTGCGCGCAACCGCAAATTTTCCAAAAGTGATGGCAGCTACTCAGGGACTCACAAGGGATTTAAGTACCTGCGTCATAAGTGATACGGATTTAAATGGTTCACTGTATAATTAAGAGGAGAGATCTGATCTGAAAGGGTTTGAAGGTTAAGGATATTCCAGAGGTGGTTTTTGACACAGGAATGCTGGGATCAGGATGCTCCAGGAGATCACAACTATAAAAACAGTAAGTTATTTGTTAGTGTTCCTGACAGTACAACAACAGAAGGTTAGAATTCATTATGTACTCACTGCCAGGCCTCTTTCACTGGAAGGGATGTTGACAAAGTCGCAGTCACACTGCTTCCGTGAGACTCATAGAGGCGAATAAGAAGGGCATTCTCTCTTCTTTCCGCCTGTGAGAAAAAAGGAAACTGAGTTCGTGCTGACGCGCAGTGGGCAAAATCTGTTAGGAAAGGTTACCGTCTGGTCATTTCATGAATGGACACCTGTTTTATGGTCTCCAGGATGACAGCTGGCGAATTTACAGAGAACGCACTCAAGGGTTCAGAAATGGCACCATGATAGACACGGAGCGGGAAGTTCAGGTTGTAGGCATACTGGATAACTGAAGCTTCCTGGAAGGGACCTTTCCAGACAATGATTTTATTAATTGTTGTCTGGAAATTACTTCTAATAGGTTAGTAATTTGGTAGGTAGGTACTAAACTAATAGGTGGGTAATTAGAGATGTACCAACCTGTATGTGGCATCAATGCGTAGGTAAAATTATGACGCCCCATATCTGCATTGGCATCTGGCGCTTTAGGAGCCCGTAGTCTGTGGGAAAAAAACAGTGTTAGCAAAACACCTTAATGGCCTGTCTATACTTGTGTGAGAAAAATACTTACAGGGACAAGGTCATGATGTTTTCATGGACCGAGTAGCCGTATTTGGAGTCATTAAGAAGAGCCACGCCAAAGCCATGCTCAGACAGATCAGCCCATTTGTGCCCCCACACCTATTAAATAAACCATACAAATAACGTAATATTCTCCACAGACATTATAAAGAGGAGAGATGGCAGCTGCTGAGAAACCCATGGGAGAAATGGCAGAATGTAATATGGGTGTTTCTAGGAAGCAAAGTCCAAAGTCATCCCATTGGGTAAGAAATGGTCCTTTTGGTTGTGAACATGCAAGTGCTTTCATTGGACCATTACTGAATTGTACAGTATTGTACAGCTTCATTACATAATTGTACTATTGTGAGATTATTGAAATGTACACTTTCCCAAAGAAAGTCCTTGACGTGAACTTGAGCATCTCGTACCCTATTCCCACAAGGCCAACAAGACTGTGAGGAAATGTATAATTTCATGTTTCTAAAGGGTGCTCATGTCACGAGCACCTCTTATTAGCCACAATGCTCCCTCATTGTGCCCTTTTTCCAAGCCCGCAAGTAAGGACTACTGCAATGTGACCAGAATGTGGACTCTTGAGGAAGACTGCAAGGATTGAATGCAACCTTTTGAATAGGACCAGTTTTGGGCCATTCAGAACGATAGGGGCTATACTTCTATGACTAGAAAATAAACCAAGTTTCCTGTACCTCAAAACGAGCCCAGTCCCAGGAGGTATTTCTATGAGTGGGCCTCTGCAAGTGTCCGAATTGGATCTCATAGGTAGCGTTTGGGCTGCGCACCTGCACGGGGAACTCCACCTTCAGAAACTTATGTGCCTCTTCCCAGTCCACCTGGAAGCAAGACATCCAGACAACAGCTGGGTGAATAAATAAAGCATAAGATGACAAACTGAGTTGTAATTCATCCTTCCTCACCTGCGTATTGAATTTAATATAGGGGCAGCAAGCATCCAGAATAATCTCCTGTCTTATAGTGCTGTTTCCGCTGATTCTTAGCGAAAAGGAGACGCTGCCCTGAACCCCCCCAGATCTCACTACCTTAGCCGGCTCGACAAGCTCAATTACAGGCTTCCTGGGAAAGTAGATTTATTGCCATCAAGGTTATGACATTAACTTGGGTTCACACAGAGTTCACAGCTGGGTTCATATGAATCCGATCTGATGTGACGAGAAACATGCTCACCTTGTCTGAAGGTGGTAGTCCATCACATCCCAAGCGTCCCAATACAGAGGCACATCATCGAACAAAGAAAACTGGTTTCCAAAGCCACCCTCAGAAATGGTTTCCCTGAAGTCATAACATAGTTGCTTGCAGTAAGTTATAAACAACCCTACAAGATTGTGCACTCTGCTTGAAGGCTGCCTACATTATGACTAACCTGTTTGTTTGGACTAAATTCAGAGACATCAATCGACCGGTTTGGTCAATTGTGGCCTTCAAAAGGCCATTCTCCATTATAATGGTCCCATCGACCTGTCTCACAAAAAGCACCCACTGAATGAAGAAAATGAGTGGGATTAAGAAATTTGAGAAACAATGGAAAATGTCCAAGGGAATTAAGTACCATCATTGTGACCGAGACTGTAGGCACTGTAGGCTCAGGCATCTCGGTGACTTGAGCTACGCCAACGCTAGGTACTTTCACCAAGGCTGTGGAAACAGGTGGAAACTATAATAGGGGATATGCTTCAATGAGCCTTACTGTACTTTAATCAAATCTTACCTTGTCATTAGAAATGAATAGAAGTTTACCCAAAAGAAGGTCATCTGAACAATGCAATGTCTTGTTAGCGGGAAGTACCTAATCTCATTTCAGTGCCCTCCCCTGGAAGTGATATGACTTCAGTTCTCTCCCAGGGTAAAGTGTTCAGTACAGCTGTGGTTGATCCTACACCCTTGTCAGGAGAGGATCCCAGAGATTCACAAGCACCAAGAAGTAGTCTAGACCCTGCGGTGCGTATCTCTGAAAACAAAGTTCAGTAGGTTTTGCTCATCGTGATCTTCATCAAGATAACACTTATGTTAGCTTTGTCATACTTTAAAAAACTATAACAGTTAACGGGTTGTACATATCAGTTTTTTGTCATAGATTACTCATCTTCATTTTGTTCCAAATCTAACGTAATCCGATGATTTGAGAGTCCTAGGAGGGAATAATAACTCATTTTGATGACAAGCTTTGGCTCAGGCATTTTTTAGGATGACTAAAGCAGCATTTGAGATGATGTGTGCAATGGGATTGGTCTGCTGGTGAATCTAGTGTTCCATTTACACAATCTGTTGAGGCAAAGCCAATTTTTTTTGTGCATCAAGGAATTTGGTTTGTAAATCATACCGATCAAATCAAATCTTGTCCATCTATGTGTGGACATGCACTAGTTTTGATGTCAGGGATGCCAAGTGCCACTAGTTCTCACAGGTCTTGTAACCACACACGCTGTCTCACATTTGCCTGACATGCAGAAGTGTGAATGAGATTTGAGAGCTATGCCAATTTCAGAAAATGACCTCAATTTCAAAATTAAAAGCTAGACACAGACAAGCCCAATTCACTTTAATTGCATGGAAAATAATTATTGTGTTCCACTGAAAAAAAGTTGGAACAACATGAGGTTGAGTAAATGATGCCAGAATTATCTGATATATTGGCCAATTAATCTAAATTTATAAACTTTTTATATAATTTTTGAGAGCCTGATTACAAAAACAAAAGTCTCACTTTTAAAAGCCATGTACCAAGCACACAATTATAATGATGTTCTCATTATAATTTTATGAAGCCTATATACCGCTACACTGGACTTGCGCTACACGTTGCATTAACTGTATTTTTCTTATCGAAGTGATTCCAATCATATTTCAAGCAATTCAAAGCAATCATGGCACACATAATGCACATCTGAAGTGTTTCAGCTGAAGGAAATAATCCATTATTAATCCATTATTATCGATATATTATGGCTTTAATATATCGGCCATGGTCCGTGGTTTACCGTCATAGTACTGTAGAGCATCCTCAACAACCATCTCAATACAGCTGCCAGGAATCACATCATGGAACTGATTGAGTAGAAGCAATCTAAAATAAAGACATGCAGAGAGCCACTTGAGGTTTCAGCAATGCTCTTATCATCAGAATATTTATAGCTTGACTTGCCTCCATAGTTCTTGAAGTTTGCATGCTGGATATTTGAA